TAGGTGGCAACTTCTAAGAAATTGTTCTCTAATTAGGAGCTCTCTAAGCTCATCGTACTCCTGCACTGTCCCTGAAAGTTCAATCCATCTGTCGAAATAATGGCAAAGTCGGGCAGCATACTGCGTAGCCGTCTCACCATCAGCTGGTTTTCCTGTCCGAAATCTGTCCCGGAATCCTTCCACAGTAAATCTAAATCGCTTCAGCAAAGCAGCTTTAACCTTTGCATAGTTGGCTGCATCGGTCGGCGTCAGCCTACCGTACACACTGAGCGCTTCACCACTCAAGCAAGTCCTCAAAGCAGTTGCCCATTGATGTTCCGGCCAATTCTGGCTCCTCGCAATCGTCTCCAATCGGTGAAGGTACGCGTCAAGGTCGTCCTTCCATTCATCAAACGCTACGAGCAGCTTGCTTGGGTTCAAGTGGAAGGCATGATCCTCCCGTTCACTGCTTTCAACTCTAGCTTGGACCGGAGTTTCGCTTCGCTGTTGCAAACGGAGCCGCTCGAGTTCTATCTCGTGCTGTCGCTGCCGTTCTCTTTCCTCTCTTTCTTCTTTCGCCCTCTCAGCTGCCAGTCTTTCTCTCTCCAGCTCCAACTTCAATTGCTACTCTCTTTCTTCTCTCGCCCTTTCGGCTGCCAACTTTTCTCTCTCCAGCTCTAACTTCAATTGTTGCTCTCTTTCTTCCTTCGCCCTTTCAGCAGCCAGCCTTTTTCTCTCCAACTCAGCTGCTTTTTCTTCCTTGACCCTCTCAGTGGCCAACCTCTCTCTCTCCAACTCAGCTTCTTTTTCCGCTTTGGCTCTTTCGACCACCAACCTCTCTTTTTCCAGCTCAGCTGCCTTTTCTTCTTTGGCACTCTCTTTTTCTTCTTTTTCCTTCTCGGTGACTCACTTCCGTAGTTCGGCGCCAGAAAGACCCATCTTCTCACCAAGAGCTACTAACTTTTCGAGATCCATTGTGTCTCGCAAATAAAACCTTGCCACTTGCAAAAATATCTGCCTAAATCAGTCTATCGGAACACTCTCCTGCACTCGTTAACGAGAACACTGAGCAACACACAAAATCATTCCGCTAGCAGTATCAACAACTCGAGGCTCTTTCTCACTACTTTGGGCACACTGTGCACCAAAAGGTCCTGTCGCGGACGCCAGAATAATTGTGACACACAGGTCCCGTTAATTAGGGAGGCGATCGTCGGGCTAATTCCAAGGGCCGAAGTATTGCCCCCCCCCGAAACGCACCACGAAAGCGTGGACAATTTAGAAGTGGTCCTTTTTGGCGCGCCAGCGGACGCCGGCTGTGGCCCAAAGAACAAGTCAGAGCCGAGAGTTGATAAACAAAACAAATATTATATTCTCAAAAATGGCAGATCGAAAACAATACACAAGAATGCACACTCCACAATAGTTACATACAATACGTCACCAATCAAACAACGTACTACACAGTACAATCAGCCATACTCAAAACAACGGACACAGACAACGATACGCACTACAATGCAGTCGCATGCATTGAACAACCAAGACACTTAAAGACTAAAGAGATAGAAAACCTATTCAGTCCAAAGTTCTTGGAACAAAAGTCTGGATGATACTCTTCCGAGAATCACTCACTCAAAGTCCAGCGCCGTTGTCGTTCCGCTGCCCCTGAAGTTTCTCTTCCAGGAAACCTCGCCGAAGTTTCTCTTCCAGGAAACCTCACGTCTTCAATTGGCCACTCTCCAAGCTTCAAACTTCTTCGCCGGAAACACGTCGGCTTCACACACGCAGCTGTTGCCACGCGTCTTCGCTCGATAGCGGTAAACACACACTCTTGCCTGTAGCTCCAGTCGTCACCCCTCAGGTGGAAATCATCTTCTCCTGCTTTCTCTCTACGGACAAAACCTTCGCCGACTACACGGCGGAATCCCTACGCGCTCTGGCGCTAACTTCCGTCTTCTCCTGATCTCTCATCTCCGCTGCTCGGTTAAATACCTTCCGCGCGACATTCCAGAAGGTTCTTATCATTTCGTCGGCGCGATACGCAGCGAAGGCTGGGAAGAGGGCGAGACGGTTAGAACGCCCTCCGCGGCAGATGACTCAGCTCGGTATGACCACGCCTATTTCCTTCTGGAACTTTCCAGCGCTTGCTCGACCGCCGTTGTGGGGTGAGGAGGTTCGTCGGCGAAGCCACGCTTCCGAGAGGAGAGCGCGCGCCCCGGGGAGCCTTGGATGTTTTTTTTTCTTTTGACCTCGCGGCGTCTCTTTCGCGCGTTATCGCAAGAATTTGGCGGCGCACCCATTTTTAGTGCTCGTTCTGTGACAACCGTGTTTTATGAAACCTAGGACTACACTTACATTCTTTACGGCACCCGGCCATGAGACTACTATAGCCCTTCTTAACATTTAAAGCATGCTGTCTTGCTTGATCATTGAAGCATTGCCCACTTTGTCCTATGTTTACTTTTCCACATGTTAGCGGCATCTTATACATATTAGATTGGCATTCTGTAAACTTATTCTAGTGACAAATGGTGCAAGATTGACTATTCCTGTCGCTGTAAGTACATGCACTTTTGAAAGCTTGCAAGGGGTGGAAAACAACAATGTCATATCTGCTGGCTCTTTTCCTAAAATTGTGAGACACCTTATGTACGTAGTACCATGTGACATGCAAAGGTGATTGGTCATTCTCTTTCTTTTGGTGCTGTTTCCTTCAACTTTACTTTCTGCAGGAGGGTTTCGCAAACAAGTGTGATGATGCTGTTGGGGTATTGGCTGGTGCTATCAGCCCAGGAGTGCTAAGAATGTTCTGCCTTTTCATAGTGGGCATTCAAAATTAGTAGAAAGAGGAATTGATACCACATGTACTCAGGCCACCCTTCAGAAGTCATGTTAGCACAAGGGTGAGGTCAGGTTTAAAAACCAGTATAAAAGACTAAAAGATGCTGGGTATCCCAACAGAATCATCACACCCGTTTGCAAAACCCTCCTGTAGAAAGTAAAGTTAAAGAAGACAGGACCAACAAAAAACAATGACCAAAACCTTTGCATGTTATACCACATCATGTGTCTCACAATTAAAAAAAATAGCCAGCAGATATGATATTAGCGTGTTGTTTTCCACCCCTTGCAAGCTTTCAAAAGTGTGTGCACTAAACAGCAACAGGAATAGTCAATCTTGCCCCATTCTTCACGAGAATAGGTTTACTTAATGCCAATTTAACGTTTGTAGAAGTATTTTTTATCAGGTAAACCAATGATCAGTGCATCACTAAACGTTCACTTATCCTTTCCGAGAGGGAGTATTCTTTTTACAGTTAAGATTATTTTGTAGTGCTCACACGTGTCGTCGCGCATGAACACGGTTCTTGTACTCCGTATAAAAGCGCTCGTAGCACATTCATTAAATTCAGTTGACAGTCGGTGCTCTTTCCTGTCCTTTCTGTTTCTTTCCTAAAGTTGTCACGCTGTGACTAGCACACAACCACGACGAACCAACTCTCCCAAATTAAGCTCTTGTTACGTAACATGTAGACCGAGTTTCGTATGAAAAGAAGGAGCGGTGCTTTTAAAATAAAATTTTTCACATACAACACCTAGACGGCATTCCAGGAAGTTCAGAGGGCAGCCACGTGACCAAATATTTTTCCTCTCCTAAATATTCCAGAAGTTCACTATTTTCAATGCAGATCGAGTTTTTCGAATACATTTGAAATGGTTGCCAAAATGGCTGGGACATTTGGAATAAAGTGACCTAGCTGTGTCATTAGCCATAATTATGCATTACCTTTTTTGTTTTTTGTGTGTTTTGACTCAGTTTTGTGTTCATTTTTAGCTTATTGTGTTTCTGATCATTGTATTGGTTTCTTGAGTATTCGCTAAAGTTATATGTGCGAAAACCTATATATGTTTGCATGTACGTCATTTCTCATAACCAATTGTTATACATCCAGGAATACAAAGCTTAATCCACTGTGATTGTATACATTTGAAAACACTATCCAAATATATTTTTGTGTGCATCACTTTTTGGGAACGATTGTGTACATGAAGGCGTATATAGTGAAATCATGGTGATTGTATATATTTGAAAGAATCATAAGTATATATTTGCCTGTATTTCATTCCTATTAACCGATTGTGTACATGAAGGAGTATTAAACTGGAAACCACTGGGATTGTAGATACTTGAAAGAATTATAGGGATATATTAGCGTATATTTCATTTGTAGTCTCTATGTACTTGAAGCAGTATACTAAACTGAAACCAGTGTAATTGTATGTTGCAAAGAATTGTCAATGAAGTGAAACTGAATAAATATAATAAACATTTGAGGTGCTGCAAGTGTAGTGTACGTATACGTGAACGTATATCTGGTGAAAAAGTTGTGTGGCAGAAGAAAAGTTTATGTTTTATTTTTTTTGTTTTATTTGCCTAATAAATAAACGCAATATGCAAGGGCAGCAAGGCTTCATTTTCTGTAACGCGCATTGCGTATATACTGTGAAGTATATATAGATCCAGCACAAGTTCATACACGATAGTACGCGTTTTTATTTTTGCCCAGACGCAATGAATGGAGCTCGACAGGTGGCGCACCATTGATAATCAGGGCCACTTTCTTCAAGTAGTGTGTAATCAGTGCATGCTGATATCTATTAGTGCAGTCTAAAAGAATACTGGCACCCCTGCCATGGGCACTCAACACCCTTGTGCACCCTTCTCGCACCCTCCTCAGAGGGTGCTAAAAAGTGATGGACATCGAAGGCACCCTTCCTTAAGGGTGTTTTTGTAACACCCTACAGTTTTTTTACATGTACACCCTATTCTAAGGGTGCATGAAAAAGCACCCTTTTTTGGAAGGTGCTGAATTAACACCCTTAGGGTGTCGTCCACGGGACAAGCTCATTTACCCCCATCTGGGTGTAAAACTTTTTACTGTGTACCATGGAAATTGCATCACAACTCTTTAAAACACACACTTCGACATCGTCAGGAACAATATCACAATGTTTAATCATTACCAAACCATAAACAAGCGGTACTTATGACTTATACACAAGACAGTAAAAAAACAACACTGTATCAACACATCATACGTTTGGTTACCAATGTCAATCGTAAAACGTGCATTTTTCAGCCGGATTCATCTTGGAGCCCGCTGGACAACCGAAGGCTTCGGCAAACGGTGCGAAGTTCATCATCGCCTTGTTACAGTCCCCGCCGTAGAGGTTGTCAGTAGGTGTCTTGGCACAACTTGAGAGGCAGGCAGTAATGAAGAATACCTTCTCTTCCGTTAACTCCTGCGAAAGAGCGTGACAGAGCCGTGTTTTTATATTAGTGGCGTGCTTAATAATTGCAATAGGATCAATGTTAACTTCTTCAGCTGCGTCTGAGTGCAGACACAAATCACAGCTTCATCGTCAAGCCGTCATTAAGGTGCGAAAATTGGCAAATATACTGCACTCTTTTCAAAGAAGCCTGCTAACTTTACAAGACAAATAATAGGAACACTTTCACTAATAATTTTTATGTTTATGTCATTCTTAAGTGAAACATTTGTGGAGTGCTGTGGATGCTGTAACGTGCCTTCAACCTGCATACCATGGGAAAGTAATGAGAAAGCTCACAATACTCTCCGGAAGGAATACCCAAGACACTTCTTTCTAAAAACATCCGAATGTGCTGTATGTCGCTGCTAGATGGTGCACAAACTTTCGTTAGGCATCACAAATAGCTACTGCAAGAAATTCTCAGAACGTCTCAAAAGAAGAAATGAACATTTGCTGTTCGGCCACAAGTCTTAATTCGTAGACAGGCTGCATTTCTGAAAAAAAAAGCGCGCCATATTGCGTGAATATTTTGCAATCGCTCGTAAGCCGGTATGTTTGGCTCTCTTAGTTCTCGAGTCAAACAAGGGATGCCTTCTAGTTGTCCACTCGGAAGCTTCCGAATCTGCACACTTGCCGCGTCTAAGGCTGAAGTTGTCGAAACATATTGCTGAGCCAGTTTTTAAATCTCAAGCAAAGCTTTGCAGGAGCTGTTTCCGGGCATTCCAGCAACACGAGCTTAAAACTCAGCTTTCTCTCGCGTCCTCAACGGGTGACAGGTTCACTTGCACTAAATGGTGAGCCGTGTGGACCATCGCACACAGCACCTTTTCCTCAGACATCGCGGTATCTATTTTTTTACAACCCCAATCGCAAAGGTTGCTTAATTCGTAGACCTATAAAAAGGGGGGGGGGGGAGCCTCTAGCACCCATCGTCATCTTTATCGGCCGCTTAATAATTATGGCGCACTCAGGTGCATGCCCATGCGTTTTAAAGCCGATAGTCTTTCTTGGAGACCTTCGACAGAAAAATTTTGGCCTGTCTATCTGTACATTTGTCTGTTTGTCCGCTCTTAACGATACCTCAAATGGCCGACTCCATCCTAAACGCCCACCTGTATTTCTCAAGGTTTAGCGTTCATACTTGTGCGATTGCTAATTAAAAAGCAATCATTGCGCATATCTGAGCTACCATAACAATACGTTGATGTTTTGTATGCGTGCCTTTATACTAGAGAAGGCACACAATAGTAATTCTAAGGGCCGTAGCGTTCAACACGCTGCGCTGACAGTGCAACGCGATGCTCAAAAAGGCAAGTGTTGCCAACGCTTTGCTAAGACGACACGGTGGTGGCACCTGTCCGTCGCTTTGCGTTCTACGCCTTATCACCTCCGAAAATGGCACGCATCTTTTCCGCAGGCGCGGTTGCCTTCCTTCGTTTTCGAAGAGAAATGTCAGATGGCGCTCGTGTCTAACGTGCCTCGATGCGCTCGTTCACCTCCACTGCACGCTCGAAGCACTCGAACAGAGCGCCCCAAGAATACCATTCACCAATTTTCTTGCGCAGAACATGAAATAAATGTTTTGTTCACTCTCTCAGGATATAAGACTATCGTCTTTTGACGACATTTGCAGTGTAACATGCAGATCCGGGGCCTTTTTTTTTCGCGTGCTGTGGGCTGCGAATAAACCCGAGTCCTTCTGCTCCTGGGATTCGCCGAAATGGTTTCCTTGTTTTTAAAGACGATAGTCTTTCTTGGGGACCTTCAAGGCAAAAATTTTGGTCTGTCTGTCTGTACATTTGCCTGTTTGCCCACACTTAACGTCTCCGGGTATTTGAAATTACCGACCCTATCCACAGTGCCCTTCAATGTTGCTCAAGATTTAGCGTTCATACTTGTGCAATTATCAATTAAAAATTAATTATTGCGCATGCCTGTCTGGGCCATCATAGCAACACGTATATATTCTGCATGTGCGGCTTTTACTATAAAAGGCACACATAAGTAATTTTAAGGACCGTAGGGCTTATCACGCTGCTCTGACCATGCAACGCTTGCACGAAAAGGCAAGTGTTTCCAACGCTTTGCTAAGACGAGACGGTGGTGGCACCTACCCGTCGCCTTGCATTCTACCCCTTATCACCTCTGAGACAGGCGCCGCACACCGGCCTCCAAGCCACGCGCATCCTTTTCCAAGAAAACTGCCAGATGGCGCTCATGTATCACGTGTGCCGTGACGATGCGTTCGTCCGCCTCCGCTGCATGCTCTAGGCACACTAACGCAGCGCCTCCAGAATACCATTCACCGATTTTCTTGCGCAGAACATCAAACAAATGTTCTGTTCACTCTCTCCACACGCAAGACTATCGTCTTTCGAGGACATTTGCAGATTAATATGGAGATACGGGGCCGACTTTCTTTCTCTCACCGCCACACGCATGGTTATAGAGGACTTGACCTCGGCCCCTATATTGACTTTAATAGTTTACTTATAATGCTCAGAGTTCACGAATAATCTCTTTTTACTGTTTAAAATATACCGGACACTGTTAGACACCTTTTCGGCGAGACAAAGCAGCGGAGTTAAATAGGCTATATTAACCTTTTGCAATCATCTTCCACTCATCAGGGAAAAGCATAACAGCAAATTCTATTCAGCTAACCAAAGCCTTCTCCTTAAACAGACGTGAAGCGATGGGGCTAACTTATGTAAAAAACTGCACTTTTTATCTACATTGTTCCATGCTGCCCGAAAAAATATAGATTGCCAACGTTAAGACTGAATTAGTTATCTGGTTTTCTATTGTCTCATCATAAGGCTCGCTTTCGAAACTGACGTGCCCGCAGTATTTCTCGCCTCTCAATGTCAGTTAACCACAGAGGCACGACATTCTTGGAGTTAGCACTAGAGCGATTGGCCAAAATAGTCCGTAATTATAGAAAAATATAATCATATATCTGCATTGTAGCACGAGACCATCTTCATAGGAAGGAGAATAATTTTTCCCCACACCTTCGTCTATATCTTCAATCCTCATCTCTAGGCGGTCAGCATCTCTTGTATTTTATAGTATTCCATGATATACTACATCGTGCTATCCTAATCTCGCAAGATGAACTTCATTTCTCTATTGCTCGAGACATTTTGAAAGTGTGACAAATCTTAAGAAAAGCAAATACCTTCATATAGGTACTAGATTCATTTCAGGATGTTACTCTGCGGCCCTTGCGTTCCCAGTTCCGTATTTAAGAAATGGACGCACATGTAGGATGAAGAAGGTGGCTTGCGAATCTCTGTACCCACCTCTGATAGTTGGGGGTCGTGCTCTTCTTGGTGCTGCTTGAAAGCTTCGTAGGCCACTTCAATTGCTGGAACCTCGGGAAAGATGCTTGTATTTCCCGGCAGGCAACCCAGAATGCGCTGCTTGAAAGTGTCGAACACCTTGTCACTCGGCCTTGGTGCCATTGTCTCACCTTGGGAGCTGACCTGTGAGCACGGCTTACATTGTTATTTATATACACGCTACAAATTGCGGTTCTTCAACGATGCTTTGATACTTTCAATTATGTAGAGTTCACATGTCTATATTGTCACGGGGTCGTGACGTGGCCAAAGACAGAAAACTTCGTGTTGTGATTTAACTGTTTATTTGGGCGAACCTGTGCTCGGTAAAGGGAAATTCTAATTACAGCAGCAGTCTTGCACAGATAGCAGTCTCGGACTGATAGCGGCGAACACAGCGTCGGCCTTCGATCAACAACTGACAAGCGGCGAAGCGCGTCGGCATTTATACCCTTGCCGTCGAATGTTCTAGCGTTATCGCTGGCGGTGGCTTAGGTTCCAGAACAGTCTGTACCGTTCGCACAGTGGGCGTGATCTTATCGAAATGATCTACTACAGTCCGGAACCTTCTGGAAACCTGCAGGCACGGTTTGCACCGAGAATCGCGTGGTGTTTCGGAACAAAACAAAAACTTGTGAAATGGAACGTGGCATTGCCCCCCTCTGAAAAAGGCATCGTCCCGATGCTTTAACTAAAGATGAAGGTACAATAATAATGCAAGAAAGTACAATGAATAAATTACAATACAATAATAATACAAAAAAAAACACTGTTTCAGTTTGTTAACGTGCATAAAACGGCTTGAGGCGCGCGACATGCACGACTTCAGGTCGCGATCGGCGTCGTTGAGAGTTCGTGATGCCGTCGGGGACAACCTCGTAATCAAGTGGGCTGAGTCGTCGAACCACCTTGTACGGTCCGAAGTACCGTCGCAGAAGCTTTTCACTTAGTCCACGTCGGCGTATCGGCGTCCACACCCAAACACGTTCACCGGGCTGGTATTCCACGAAGCGTCGTCGAAGGTTGTAACGGTGGCTGTCGGTCGTCTGTTGATTCTTGATACGAAGACGCGCAAGTTGTCGGGCTTCTTCGGCGCGTTGAAGGTACTCGCTCACATCGAGGTTTTCTTCGTCGGTGACGTTGGGTAACATGGCATCGAGCGTCGTTGCCGGGCTCCTTCCGTAGACCAGTTTGTATGGAGATATCTGCGTCGTCTCCTGCACTGCCGTGTTGTATGCGAAGGTCACATACGGAAGAATGGTGTCCCACGTCTTGTGTTGGACATCGACGTACATTGACAGCATGTCGGCGATCGTCTTGTTAAGCCGCTCGGTGAGGCCGTTGGTCTGTGGGTGATACGCTGTCGTCCGGCGGTGGTTTGTTTGGCTGTATGCCAAGATCGCTTGAGTTAAGTCGGCAGTGAATGCCGTTCCTCTGTCGGTGATAAGGACCTCCGGGGCGCCGTGACGTAGGACGATATTTTCGACGAAGAACTTAGCTACCTCGGATGCACTGCCTTTTGGCAGGGCTTTTGTCTCGGCGCAGTGGGTGAGATAGTCGGCAGCTACCACGATCCACTTGTTTCCGAAAGCCGACGTCGGGAACGGCCCCAGTAGGTCCATACCAATTTGCTGGAAAGGTCGGCAAGGTGGATCAATTGGCTGCAGAAGTCCCGCTGGCCTTGTCGGCGGTGTCTTGCGTCGCTGACAGTCCCGGCATGTCCTCACATAACGAGTGACGTCGGTGGTAAGACGTGGCCAGTAGTACCTTTCTTGTATCCTGGCGAGCGTGCGGGAAACACCGAGGTGCCCTGCCGTCGGATCGTCGTGCAGGGCCTGCAGGAGTTCTGGTCGCAGAGCTGAAGGCACCACAAGGAGGTACTTAGCTCGAAGCGGTGAAAAGTTTTTCTTTTGTAGAAGACCGTTTCGTAGAAAGAACGACGCAAGTGCGCGCTTGAATACCTTCGGGACTTCGGCGGTCCTGCCTTCGGGGTATTCTATTAGGGCTTTAAGTTCCGGGTCGGCCCGCTGTCGTTCAGCGAAGTCGTCGGTAGTTATCGTTCCCAAGAAGTAGTCGTCATCCGAGTCGTCGGGTAGCGGTTGGTCGACAGGCGCACGAGAGAGACAGTCAGCGTCGGAGTGTTTTTCGCCGGACTTGTAAATGACAGTAATGTCATATTCTTGAAGTCTCAGGCTCCATCGTGCGAGGCGACCTGAAGGGTCCTTCAAGGTGGCTAGCCAACACAAGGCGTGGTGGTCGCTCACAACTTTGAAGGGCCTGCCGTAGAGGTAGGGGCGAAATTTCGACGTAGCCCAGATGATGGCGAGGCACTCCTTTTCTGTTGTGAAATAAATTGCTTCTGCTTTGGATAGCGATCGGCTGGCGTAACTAATAACCCTTTCAAGTCCGTCAGCCCTCTGCACAAGAACGGCGCCAAGACCTACACTGCTTGCGTCAGTATGTATTTCTGTCTCGGCGAATTCGTCGAAATGGTCAAGTAACGGAGGCGTCTGGAGGCGATGTTTAAGCTCCTGGAAAGCGTGTTCCTGCGGTGTTTCCCACTTAAACTCCACGTCGGCCTTGGTAAGGTTAGTGAGAGGATCGGCGATGCGGGCGAAGTTTTTCACGAACCGCCTATAATAGGCACACAGGCCCAGAAATCGGCGCACGGCTTTCTTGTCAGTGGGCGGCGGGAAGTCGGCGATAGCGGCTGTTTTCCGTGGATCGGGACGAACTCCAGACTTGCTGATAACGTGCCCCAGAAACAAGAGCTCCTCATACGCAAATCTGCACTTTTCTGGCTTCAGTGTGAGTCCGGACGTCTTGATGGCTTGAAGTACAGCTTCAAGGCGCCGAAGATGCTCGTCGAAACTCGAGGAAAACACGACGACGTCGTCCAAGTACACAAGGCAAGTCTGCCACTTCAATCCTGCCAGTACTGTATCCATAACGGGTTGAAAAGTTGCAGGCGCTGAGCAAAGGCCGAAGGACATCACCTTAAACTCGAAGAGGCCGTCCGGTGTTATAAACGCCGTCTTCTCTCGGTCTCTTTCGTCGACTTTGATTTGCCAATAGCCAGTCCTGAGGTCCATTGACGAGAAGTACTTGGCGTTATGGAGCCGATCAAGTGCGTCGTCTATTCGTGGGAGAGGATACACGTCCTTTCTTGTGATTTTGTTTAGGCGGCGATAATCGACGCAGAAACGTAGGGTCCCATCCTTTTTCTTCACTAACACCACGAGGGATGCCCACGGACTCTTGGACGGCTGGATAATGTCATCTCGCAGCATTTCATCAACTTGCTCTTCATTGCCTCACGTTCTCGCGTCGAAACCCTGTACGGACTCTGATGCAGTGGTCTGGCATTTTCTTCGGTTATGATTCGATGTTTCGTGATTGGGGTCTGCCGAATTTTCGATGACGACGAAAAGCAATCTTCGTATTGCAGGAGCAGGGCCTTGAGCTGTTCTTGCTTATCGTTCGGAAGTCTGGGATTGACGTCGAAAGCTATGGGAGGAGCTTGGTTCCTCTGAGCAGGTTCCGCAGAATCGGCGAGAGTGAAAGCACTGGTGGCTTCGACAATTTCTTCGATGTATGCGACCGTTGTTCCTTTGTTCACATGTTTGTACTCATTGCTGAAATTCGTGAGCATAACCGTTGCTTTGCCTCCCCGCAGCTCTGCAATTCCTCTTGCGACGCAAATATTTCGGGTGACCAACAGATGCTGACTGCCTTCAACGACGCCTTCCAAGTCAGGTGATTTAGGAGCGCCGACTGAAATAATGACGCTTGAGCGAGGCGGAATGGTGACTTGTTCTTCTAGCACATTCAAGGCATGGTGTCCTGACGGCGTGCGCGGTGGTAGTGCTTCTTCTGTGGATAACGTTATCGACTTTGTTTTTAGGTTGATGACAGCACCATGGAGGCATAAGAAGTCCATGCCAAGGATGACATCTCTCGAGCAACGCTGTAGGACTACGAAGTCTGTAGGTTAAATACGGCCGTTAATAGTGACTCTCGCTGTGCAGATTCCTGCAGGCGTTACAAGATGACCTCCGGCTGTGCGGATTTCAGGGCCTTTCCAAGCTGTCCTAACTTTCTTTAACTTCGCGGCGAACGACCCACTGATGACAGAATAGTCGGCTTCAGTATCTACGAGAGCGGTCACACTGTGGCCGTCAATAAGAACGTCGATGTCGCTAGTTCGCCGTCTCGCATTACAGTTAGGGCGTGGCGTCGGGTCACGGCTGCGTCGGCTTGATCCGCTGCTTCCATGTTGCGTCGTCAGGCCACCTCCGGTAAGTGAGCTTTCGCCGTCAGGGCTTTGCCTGGTTGGCATTGTGTTCGGAAAGCTCCGTCGCGGCGTCGTCGTCGTCGGAGGATCTTCGGTAGTTCGTCGCACAGCAACCGCACCTCCATCGGTTGCTGCCCTTAGTTTCCCGGATACGGGCTAGGAGACCGGCCCCGCGTTGGGCCAGAGTACTGCCGGGGGTGCGGTGACATGCGGCGGCTGGGCGACGGCGAACGGGAAGGACTTCGTGGTGTCCATTGAGTTCCAGCCAGGTAGTCGGCGATGTCACGTGGCCGATCTCCTGGCTGCGGACGCGGTGCATTGACGGCGAAGCCACGCAGTCCCATCTGTCAGTACTGGCAACGGCGGTATGTGTGCCCGGCCTCGCCGCAGTGGTAGCAGAGCGGGCGGTTGTCAGGTGCACGCCAAACGTCCGTTTTCCTCGGTGCGCTGCGCTGGCCCGCTGGGGAACGGTTGGACGTCGGTTGGGGTGGTGGCGGCGGTGGCGTCTGGCGACGGAAGTGTGACGGGGCGGCGTTTTGGCGTGGACGGGGAGGAGCGTTGTGGCGCACTGCAGCGGCGTAGCTCATAGTTTCTGGCTCGGGTGGCGGTGTTTCGGGAATTCGAAGCGATTGCCGGACTTCTCGCACAATGTCGGCGATCGAATCCACTTGAGGCTGCGCCGAAGGCAACAGTTTGCGCAGCTCTTCCCGCACGATCGCTCGGATCGTTTCACGCAGGTCGTCGGATTCACTGGCTTGAGCAGCAGCGCATTCTGGAGTCAGGCGATGATTATATTGTCTGGTGCGCATGTCCAGCGTTTTTTCGATGGTGGTCGCCTCGGATACAAATTCTTGGACGGTGTTCGGTGGATTCCTCATTAGTCCCGCGAAGAGCTCCTGTTTGACCCCTCGCATGAGGAAACGAACTTTCTTTTCCTCAGGCATGTCTGGGTCAGCATGACGAAATAGGCGGGTCATCTCCTCTGTGAAAATTCCAACCTTTTCATTTGGTAGCTGAACCCGGGTCTCGAGTAGAGCAGCTGCCCTCTCTTTGCGAGTGACGCTTGCGAACGTTTGAAGAAATGCGCCGCAGAAGACATCCCATGTTCGGAGCATGGACTCCCGATTCTCTAGCCAGGTCCTTGCGGTGTCTTCCAGGTAGAAGTACACACGACGGAGCTTTTCTTCGTTGTCCCAGTGGTTGAGGGCGGCCACACGGTCGTATGTTTCTAGCCAGGTTTTCGGGTCTTCAAACGATGAGCCATGGAACGTTGGTGGTTCCCTGGGTTGATGAATGACGATCGCGGGCTGGGACGCTCCGGTTGTCATTGTCGCTGCAGTCGAGGTCATGGTCTTGGTCTTCCGCGCCTTGTCTTGTAGCAGGCCGTATTCCGGTGGGAGACCTTGCTGTCGGCGGCTCGTTCGCTGCTCTTGGTTGGCGTTGGTGTCTTCTCCGCGAAGGGGGCTGGGTTAACGGCTTGACGGGGGCGTCCGGTACATGAACGAAGCAGCACCTCCACCAGATGTCACGGGGTCGTGACGTGGCCAAAGACAGAAAACTTCGTGTTGTGATTTAACTGTTTATTTGGGCGAACCTGTGCCCGGTAAAGGGAAAGTCTAATTACAGCAGCAGTTTTGCACAGATAGCAGTCTCGGACTGATAGCGGCGAACACAGCGTCAGCCTTCGATCAACAACTGACAAGCGGCGAAGCGCGTCGGCATTTATACCCTTGCCGTCGAATGTTCTAGCGTTATGGCTGGCGGTGGCGTAGGTTCCAGAACAGTCTGTACCGTTCGCACAGTGGGCGTGATCTTATCGAAATGATCTACTACAGTCCGGAACCTTCTGGAACTCTGCAGGCGCGGTTTGCACCGAGAATCGCGGGATGTTTCGGAACGATAACAAAAACTTGTGAAATGGAACGTGGCAATAAGGAAAGCAATATTGTCGTCGCAACCAAAAAACCAGAACCAGAGAAAAGCATCAGGCCTAAAATACTTCACCCCTAAAAATTACCGCCACATATCTTTCACACCCTCTCACATGCTTTTTTTACAGCGAAAGCTGTATATCGCTAGGAGAAACTAAAAACCATTAGGCATCGTTGACACGATCGGTCTCCCACTGGTTTGGTGTCCCGAGCGGTCTCTATTGGCTGTGTTATCAGTTACATTGTTTTCAGCGTCGTACCCAAGCATGCGTGTCATTGGCTGCATTGTGAGTGACGTTGTTGATCCCGTTGCAACCGTGGCGGCGAGCACGCGCGTATCTCTTACTGCAGTTAGCTTCCACGTGGGTAAGCCACAGACAACTCTAGAAGAGCGCGAGAGAGCTCACAAAACGAGCGGGAGCTCACAACATTCACCGGGCCGATGTTGTAGTCCGGGCACGAAAAAAGGCCCGCAAGGCCGAGTGCCAGCATCAACTGAGTACCGATGATCCTGCAGCCTTCTAAGCGGCGCTGCATTGCCAAGGACCGTTCCGCGCGCTCGCCGCACAGCCGCAACGCGCAGGCCGGCACACCTCCCACAGACAAGCGGAGGGTGAAAGAGCGTTGCCAATTGGCTTATTTGCCCCCCACTTGCGTGCAGCAAGGGTCCCGGCACGTGCGTTGCGGCTGAGCGGCGAGCGCGTGGAACGGCCCGAACGGCAAGACAAGTGCCGCTGGCGGGCGGATCCCGCAAACCACGCCGCCGAGTTATCTCGCGATGTCAAGCGCTTGCAACAACGTCGCGCGGAACAAGCCGCGTTGCGGGCGCAACAGCGTCAACGTGATGATAGCGGGGGCGCGGTAGCCGGCGCGAACGCCCGCTTTCGGCGGGAGTTTCGTCAGCGGCACGTCGGCTTTGGCTGCGACGCCTGTGACCGCCTGTGGTTTGAGAACAACCACTGTGATTAACGCATTGCAAAACGCATTTAACAGCTCGTAACACTCCTCCGTGACCATGATTATGGGAGGTACAGTGCGGCATGTGAAATAAGCACTGCACTGCGGCAAACCCAAGCCAAACGTGTGTCCAACTTCATTAAGAACGACGAACATGTGGCTAATAATTGTGAAAGGCTTCAGTGCAGCGACGGCTTGAACCCACTGCTAAACACCGGGGCCGCACGTTTCAGCTTTCGCTGGTTAACTTTCAGTAAGGAGTGCCTAGCCACTGATATTTTTTTAACAAGTTATTCAATTGAAGTCTAGGTTTTGTGCTACGATATAATTTGTAGTCCATTCCGTGTGCTCCGTAGCATTATGAATTCATCTGTACTTCGGAATTGCGAAGTACCCGCACTGAGATCAAAGCGCACAGCCTCTGCAAAGACGTATTCGTGAAGAGCTTCTAAGCTGCCGCTCACCAAGAAAGATTGCCTTGCCCGTCACCATACGTTTATCAATGCTACAGCCACCACAGTATGTCCACTGCACCCAGGATAGCGTGGAATGAAAGTTGCAAAACAAACTTGAACTAATTTAAAGTGCACCAGCAGTGTGCTAAGGAGTGGCAACACATCTTGCTTTCAAGCACAGTCAAACGAATACCCCACACCACAGCTACGTGCTGAAGGCCTGTCCACATTATGCTGCTTTTGCTGGTGCTTCTCCTGAAAACAAAATCATTAAAATGCCAAAACTTTTTCGCCGTTATCAACATGTGTATACGAATGTTTGTAGAAAATAAAAAGCTGATAAAAAGCAAAGTGGCACACATTCACTTCAGTTGCTAATCAAGAGCACGTAGAAGTGGCGCAGACGATAGCAGCTGTGCCACAATAAATGCGAACGTCCTAACCGCTGGTGTAAAGAAATATTCGCCTAGTCATGGAGTTTTTTTTTTTTGCTCCTGGTGCTTTCCTTTTGTGAATGTGGTCTCGCATTGCCAGAACCAAGGAGGGCAGCTTGCAGTTGTACACTTTCACAACTCAATGTGATGACTAGAGCTCGATCCGCGGTGCAGCTAAAGCCATACTTTTGCACATTAGTGCTTGACGTCGCCTTTCAGCGGCCTTTACGGCAGATGGATCTTAACGGACCATTTGAGATAGTCAGCACACTTAGTTGGGCTGGTTGGTTCGATGCGGGTGCAACGACGTGAATGCTGCTTTTAAAAAGCGGATAGTGAATAAACTGGACGGAAACAGACGCCATGTGTGTGTCTCGTCTCGGCTCAATCAGTATCTTCAAAGCGCATCTTCATCGTCGTCATTTGGGTAAGTTATCCGACGTCTCACACAAGCATGCCACCGTAAACGAATAGTGCTGTGTGAAAGCAGTGTTGTTTGACAATGTCATGTCGGAGGACGTACATTGTTACAGCACAACACAGTTGTCTTCACCAAAAACTATACAAATTTGTCAGTGTCTCAAACCAAATCGACAGACCACGCTCATGTGCAGTGCGCGTGGCATGCGATTTTAACTGTGTGGCTTCATCACGGTTATTTTGCTAGCTTTATGTTCACTAAATTTGATATTGAATGATGTGATTGTATGACAAACATGAATTACGGGTGGTGACATCAAAGTATGACACACATGGCATGTACAATATAATTTACGTTGCATGGAGGTGAGCGACGCGTGGCGGTCTAATGAAACGGATATGTACCAAAGTTGATATGACAAGACCTTTTTGTAAGACGAAAATAACTGGCAGGTGGCAATATGAAAATCGTGACATTCATGCTATGTACGGCGTCACTTAGATGCCACGATCATGGTGCACTCAGGGCCGTTTAGATTGTTTTACAAACTTCAAATTTGGTATCGCGTGAGTGACGAACATCACAGGTAGCACGCATATTATGACATGCATAACATGTACGGTGGGAATTACATGACACGGTATTGATGCGCTTCCGTCCATTTTGTTAACTGGATCGATACAAAAATCGTCATGGCATGACACAAGTAGCGGGAAAACATAACTGACAGGCCAACTATTGTATACATCTATTGTACATTGTATACACGTCACATTAGCGTGGTGATTGTGTGTGCTTGCATGCATGACAAACATGCCAAATAAATTGAACTAGACCCTATGATATATGAATGACGCACCCTCATACAAACAAGGCCCTGTATGGAGCTCTTTGCCGGCTGCTTCTGATTACACCGATTCCCGACTGGCTAACCACCCCGTATTTCCTTTCTTCCTCCTTCTCCTCCGCCGTGCGAGGGATGGGCTGAATTTAAACCAGTTAATAGTACAAGAAAAAGGCCCATTGAAAGAGATAAACTCGACCACATGTACGAGTCACTGATATCGTAGTTGGTTGTGCGAATGAACAAAGTCTTTCTATACTGAACACTTCAATGCTGCCTTGCAGTGATTGCGAAGGAACTGTTCGGACATTACGTTTCTTTAATTAGCGTTACAATTAACTTTCACTATGACTCCTCTGGTTTCATTACCTATTACACTCTTCTCCCCTCACCTCGACTCCCTCGCTGTCAATGGCACCGATGAGTGCCCGAGCATAGAGGTACAAGGCACCGCCGTACAACATAGCTTTGGTGCCGTCCGAGTAGTAAAGCGGTGGCTGCAGTGCGCCGATGGAGAGGGAGAGGATGGTTGAGCACCTGTACGTACTCCACGTACGGCAAATTGTAGTTGTTCCCGAGTAGCAGCTCCTCAGTGGCTGCATCAGTGCCAAACAGAAGACGCTGACTGCGACGCGCCTCGATCCAGAACTCGGTAAAGGACGTGGCGTCTTCGGGGAAATGTTTGTACACTTCCTCGAGCCGACTCGGAGACAGGAACTTCTGCGAAGGCCACACGACAGTTTGGACGTTGCTGAGCTTCTCCAAGGCTGCTTTCTTGATCCTCGAGTCGAGCCATGAGGAAGCACCTGTTTTGTTCATAGCCACCTGCGGTGAAGGAACATGACAGTGTCCATGAAGTCACACAGAATTCGTGCTCGTAATAATTTGCGCATCACAGCGTTCTTTCTTGGCGATTGCTTTTAAGGGACGCGGAAGAAACGGCAAATCGCCTTGACTGTAAGTGTGTCGTAAAGAGAAATACGATCATATTGCGTCCCCCACCAAACAAGCTCCGAGTTGAGGGAAATGGTGTGGCTGAGAACACCAGTTACACTAGCCGGGTACATAGCTTGAATCGAATATTCGGGAATCGGAAAGCATTCCGACTACAGGTGAGCGAGATAGCAACGTCACATGCCTTGATGTGTGACACGTACGGTGGCTACACAAATGACAATGCAACCAAAATGTGACATATTTCGACCACATTCCCACGCATACCTGCCGCCAAAGCGATGGACACGTACATGAGAACGCAAAAATTTGATTCACGAATTGGAGGAGGTGATTAAGGCACAAGAAAATGATAAGCATTTTCGGAAGTGCTGCTCCGAAAAAAGTTGGCTGTGGCTTAACTCAGTTATGTCTGGGTGAGCGCCGAGAGAGGTATTGTTAATCGCATGCTTAGCTTGGTTCTCTGTATGGTTACGCTTCTAAAAGAGTGCGACTGGAATTTTTGGAATACACTTGCGGGCACAGCTTGAACAAGCACAGCAAAGACCATAACAAGCAGTCGTTCATTGTGGCGTTTAACAGGAGACATAGAGGGTCTAGCTCTTTATGCGTATATTTGTTTGTGAAAGTTATATACCACCAATTTTTAATGCGAACACATAGAAAAGCATGACATCATCCCTCCTAACACGCCTTTGCGTGCTTGTGGCAAAATATGGCGCTGGATAACTGTTACAAGCTGCCACTCTAGCGTCGCCAGCACGAAGTCGGCGACGGGAATGACAGCAGGTTGGTTCGTTCCGTACGCAAGCAGAGACAGTGAAGAGATCAGAGACGTGAGAAAACAAAACAACTTTACTCTAGTGATATTGCAGCACACGGGATCTAATACAACACTTCAATACAACTAACAAAATACATCAACACTTGATACAACTAAAAATTATATAACAGAAACAATAAATCAGCTTACGAGAGAGAACTATTACAAACTACACAAACTAACAAGAATAGAACGACGGAGGAGAAAGTTCGAAGATAGAAACAGGTGAAGGCATACGTGTGATGACCGGCAGCGTTGTGTCCCCGACGATCGGATGCGAGAAGTCGAAGAGAGTTCTGGCACGACTGCGATGTCGGCGGTGTTGCAACGCTGGTGGCTCCGGGAGGCTAGTGCTTGCAGGTGACTTCGAGCAGGTTGAGCTAACTCGAGGCGAAGTCCCGATGTCTACGTTGCAGACGTTAATATCGCGTCACAGCTAGACGAACGGCTAAGTTTAGGTGGCCAGCCGATACAGAGCCACACTAAAAACTTCTAGAAGAGATGCTTGTTGATCTGTTTCTACACCATCTTGGTCAGCGACTAGTCTGCCTAGCAGGGCAAAATCCTGCGCTTAAATCCCCCTCGTGTCTCCTCGCTCTCTTCCTTGGGGACGAGAGACCTCTACCTGGGTCCAATCATGCGCGTTTAATTGATGGGAAACTCCGCCCCAAAAATATTTTGGACCCCACCCCCTTTTTAATTGGGAGAGGGCCGTCAACTAGCGAGAGTGATAACCTGTCGGGTTGTTGTCATACGGCTTGGCCACCAGAGCGTTTCCCACGCTTTTCCCCGTGGGAACGGTCAACCACTTAGCTCTCAGTCGGTGCATCTTGTAGTCTAATCCTTGTTCGGGGTATACCGCGGCCTTCTACGACCTTGCAGACGCCGCCACAGTTACAAAAGGATTAACCGTCGGCGGCGACGTTCTAAGAGGAGCACCCCATTTTGCACTTCTCGGCTGCCTTTCATGCGCCGCCGTTTCTCACGGTCAGTCGGGGAGTACGGCGCCCGTTAATTGCCGTGACGCGGTGTCGCCAAAAAATGGCCGTCCGTGACATTGGCCCCCACTTTCAGAATGTTATTCATAACATTTGTTCACACGGAGGGGAATTTTTCCGACAACAAGGAACAAAACACCACCAACAAGGGAGGCATGAGGACTGTCCCTCTCATACACAACATACATAGGCAGAGTGCATCAAAGTAACAACAAAAGGAAAAACAAACAATTGTCAGAGTACCAGCTTCAGTTACACGCAACAATATCAAGGCGCAATACAAACAAGAAGAGGAAATAGCCGTGTACGGCAGCCATCAATACAGAATACACTGCATGAATGTATACTACGAAACAAAACGGAACAGGTGCGCTCCTCTACTGTAGTGCAATCCTTCAATGTGCATTACAGCAAGTAAAAACAACCAATAAACCAAGCAAAAAGAAAATAACTCAAAATACACTTCTTATACAATGAAATACGTACATACAAACAGAAAACAACCGACGGGAGGAAAAAAAAACAACATGCTCATCGACCTCAAGAACTATATCCGGCTCAAGTAATCGGCTGCCACGTTTTCGCTACCCTTATTATGCGTAATGGTGAACTGGTACTCTTGGAGTAGTAAACTCCATCAATGTACTCGAGCGTTCAGCTGTTTCGCCCATTGGATATAACTCAGAGGCTGGTGGTCTGTCTGGACAGAAAAATGTACTCAATATAAGTACATGGAGAATTTCTGAATTCCCCATACCAACGCGAGACATTCGCGTTCGATGGTACTATAGGAAGCCTCCCGTGGAAGTAGCTTACGGCTGACATAAGCTGTGGGGTGGAGCTTGCCTTCGTGGGCCTGCATGAGCATGGCTCCGAGACTTGTGTCCGATGCGTCCGTTCGAAGTACGAATGGTTGGTGCAAATCTGGTAGCCGTAGTATCGGCTCCGTCGAGACATGTTGTTTGAGACTTCGAAAAGCCTCCTCGTGGGCTGCTGTCCATTTCACCGACTTAGCTTCGCCCTTCCGAGTTAAATCTGTAAGGGGAGCGCTGACTTCTGCGTAATTCGGGATAAATTCCCGATAGTACCCGGTCAAACCGAGGAAGGCGCGCACTTGTCGCTTGGTTGAAGGACGTGGTGCAGCTTCGATCTTGTCGAGTGTTTTCCCCAGTGGTTGCAATCTGCCCCTGCCAACTCGGTGTCCCAAGAAGTCGATTTCTTCTACACCAAGTTCGCATTTACTGGGGCGCACTGTAAGCCCGGCCCTCTGTATGCGCTCAAAAAGCAGTCCCAGGGACCTCAGGTGCTCTTCCCATGTCTCGGTGGCTACCAGTACATCATCGTAGTAGTGGTCCACACCGGGTATACCTTCTGCAACCTTCCGCATCAACTTAGCAAATACAGCAGGCGCTGTCTTGATGCCGAATGGCATGAAGCGGAACTGATATAGTCCCGATGTCGTCGAGAAGGCCGTCTTCGCTTTGGACTCTTCGGTCAGCGGGATCTGCCAATAGCCCTTCACGAAGTCGAGCTTCGAGAAATACTTCTTCTTTCCCACTGTAGCAAACACCGCGTCAGTTCTTGTCATAGGTTCGGAGTCGGCCACCAGAACGTTGTTCAGGCGTCGAAAATCGATACACAGTCGATTTGTCCCGTCGGGTTTCTTTACCAAAATGACTGGCGAATTATAAGGGGACTCTGATTTCTCAATGATGCCGAGCTTCTCCATCTCCCGCACCTCTTTCTCTACACCTTCCCGCGTTGCAAAGGGAAGAGGGTATTGTTTCACGTGGACGGGGTTACTCGTGGTGAGTTCGAGGTTGCAGTGGACCCAGTCAGTTTTGCCCGGGACATCCGAGAAAATACGAGCGTGTTCCCTGACAATTCTTTGCAGCTGTCCGATCTGCTGAGCGTCCAGTTTGTCGGAGAGCTTCACGTCTTCTTCCCCTTCTACTTTCAGCCAGTCAGGGGTTGGAATATTCTCGTCCTCGCTCGATTCCACAACGCCAAATGTCACGTTGCACACCTTGGTGGAGGGGCTGTCCCTCTCCTCGTATCTTTTTAGTAAGTTGGCGTGGAAGATTTTTCTGCCGCCAGCCGTGTCTACGACGTAGTCAGCTTCACCTTTCTTTTCCCGGACTTCAAAAGGGCCCTTCCATTGCAGCAGCAGCTTATTCGGGTCGGTTGGAAGTAAGATCAGTACCTTGTCTCCGGGGTTGAAACTCCGCTCCTTCGCCTTTCGATTGTACAGCTTCGTGTACCGTGCTCCGGCTTTTTCCAACTCCTCGTGTGCCAGGCGGCACGTTTCCTCCAAACGATTCCGAAGGTCGAAGACATGCTGGTACGTCGTCTTAGCTTCTTCAGTCAAGTCGGCGTTCGTCCACAGCTCCTTCAGTATCGCCAAGGGTCCCCTCACATGGCGGCCGTAGAGAAGCTCGAAGGGTGAAAACCCCATACTGGCCTGCGGAACCTCCCTATAGGCAAAGAGGAGAGGTGCCAGGTAGCGGTCCCAATCTCTCGGTTTTTCGGCGCACATGCGCTTCAACATTAATTTTAAGGTGCCGTTGAATTTTTCCACCAAGCCATTCGCCATGGGGTGATATGGGGTGGTGTGGAGCTGGCGCACGGAAAGGAGCCGCGCTACTTCCTTCATCAGGTCCGATGTGAAGTTCGTGCCACGGTCGCTCAGTACCTCGCGGGGGACGCCAAATCGGGAGAACATCTCGACCAGGGCTTCGGCCACTCGCTCAGTTTCGATACTCGGGAGCGCCACTGCGTCTGGATACCGGGTGGCATAATCCATCAAAGTCAAAATGTATCGGTTCCCATGCTTTGAGGGCGGGTGAATCGGTCCCACTATATCGATCGCCACTCGCTTGAACGGGGTGTCGATTATGGGTGCCCTCCCCAGTGGAACATGTGGTACACGGCCCTTTGGTACGGTGCGCTGACAAATGTCACATGAGGCGACGAACCTTTTACGTCAGCTGTGATGCCTGGCCAAAAGAACTCCTCCGAGATCCGGTCCTTGGTTTTCTGCGTGCCCAAGT